CCCCAAAACCCCAAAACCCCAAAACCCCTGAGTTAATAGTAAAAATTGAAATTTAATAGAGTCTTCATATGATATAAATTATTTAGACACATTAGTTATGTTTATGTTGAAGTCTCACTCTGGAGCTATTATTGAAGGCATCTTTTGATGTGAACCATTCTCATTCTTTCCATCACCAAAGCGAGACAGGCTCTTCATGTTGACAAAGAAATCCCCTTTTAAGAAATCTGAAAATTCTTTAGTTTTATTAGAATTTTGCTCCGTGGGACTAACTTGATATGCAGAGAGCCCATCAAAATTTAATGTCTTTATTCATTCTGGCTTCTTTACCTCTTTAGGTTTCCCTGTAGCTATTGGCTCATAGCTGGCTTCACATGAGACTGATGGGGCAGAGCTGAATGCGTCAACCGAATCATAAACCACCTCATATTCATTTTGGAAATTCTTGTGAGATATCTCTACTTGGGATGCTTCTGAGTTAATCATGCCATCAAATCTTTCAGTTGGGATATTTTTGATTTTATCCTCATAAAGATCCTGCAAGGGAATACCTTGCTCCTGAGCACAGTAGAAGAGGTAGAGCACTTTATTCTCTCGCTGTCTTACATACTTAATTTTAGCAGTGAGTTCCTTGATTCTATCTTCGAGTTCTTCATTCACACGCTTTAGGGAAATAGAACTCTCTGATCGTGAAATAGTCGATTTCATGACTTCAATTCTTTTACTTTAAACTATCATTGCTCTGGGTCAGATCACTGACAGTTTTAGTAAGCCTATAACTTTGATATGTTAGCTTACTTTAATATCTCTTTTGATTTGGTAACTAGAATACTCTGGCTTCTTTCCTTCTGTCTCTCTTGTTCTTCATCATACTTCCTTATCAGGTCTTGTATGATAGTGGCTCAATCGAGGAAGATTTCTTTAACTATCAAGAATTATTAAATTATGAGATAAAATTACCTTGTGAAATTCTTCATGTAACTTCTTCAAGGCCAAGCTTCTTATTTAATTCAAGCTGATCGCATAAGGAGAATATCTGCTTATATGTAATATTTGGGTCAGATTGAGAGTAGTAGTCGAGGCTTAGAGAGGAATCTCAGGAGCAGAAGGTTTTTGATAGTTGGTTTTTACTCAGGCATTTCTCACATTTTAGAGTCCTCTCAGGGTTAGTCCCTGTATCACATGTGGTAATGCCCTTTCTTTGAGATGAAAAGTTAGCGCTAGTGTTGTTGGCTGATTCTTCTATGAATAATAAGGAAAAGCTCCAGGTAATAAATTCTTATAATTTATGATTTCACCAAAATGTGTAATTACCTCTTTTGAGACTTCTGATTATTTCATATCTTCAAGTTTCTAAAAATGTGTATTAAGATCTTTTAAAGAAGCTTACTTTTACGAATTTCAAGTTTACTGTTAATAATTTTCTTTAACTTTTTCCCAGTTTTCGACTAAATATTACTACTACTCCTTAACGATCTTACTCCATATAGATCTTTCAGATCTCGGCCTTTATTCTTCCTAAGGAGCCCAGTCATGCTGGCTTGGGATTTGTTCTTGCAAAGCTTTGGGGCTTGCTCAGTGCCAAGAGTCTTCTCGATAGAACCGGTGAGGGACCCTTTTTGCTGAGAAAATGTTACCCTGCAAGCAGATCCTTTCTTATTTTCCAAAACATGCATTTCTGAGTGGAGATAATTCCTTGTGAAATTTATGAGATTTCAAGGTAGGCAAGGGAGATGAGCTATCCCAAGCGTGCCTCTTTGGCCTAAATTAAGAGCTGAGACTGGACTATAATTATAAAATTCCCAATATGTGAGATAGTGTAGGGATACACCCAGGAAAGGAAAGTTACTTGTTCTTGACTTTATGAGTCTTATTTCATCCTGTATATACTTAATTTAGAGTTCCTAGATTATAAAGTTGGTAAATTAAATAAAATGTTCTTTTTCCAAAATATGAATATAGAAGAAATAAATTAAAGCTCTTGCTATCTTTATTATAGACAAGAGTCTTTGAAAGGATAAGATTGGACTTACTGCTGTCGTGAATATCCAGGTGTTTCAAACCTTGTCAACGATCCTATATTAATTAACTAAAACTGCAAAACTACAACTTAATTAAACCTGAAAATTGATTTTATCGAATTATAACTTCTCTACTAAAAATCCCTCTAAATTTTCCCTTATCCCAAAATCCCACCTCCAAAACCCCTCAAGGGTTAACATCTAGGGGTAAAATGCCCTGTTATTATCCTAAAACAGCTTATTTCCCCTCTCAGAGGTGTCTAAACCCACTTACTTTTTACTGTAGCCATTTCACTATTTCTCAATTGAATTATTATATTTTGGGGTTTTGGGGTTTTGGGGTTTTGGGGTTTTGGGG